AGACACGCAATTTCGTCCCTATGTTTCCTCCTACTGCGGATGTACCCGTAAAACTTCTTGGGACATGTAATGGATTCTGCTATCAGTCGACGCTCGAAAGAAGTTCTAGCAACCCGTATTTCTTTGCGGCATTTATTGCGCTGATCTTTATATTCGGCGAATGACCTTGGATCTCGAAGTTGCAAATACTTTTTCCAGAGTCTCCGTTTCTTCTTCATGGTCTTTTTTGTCGTCGGATTGACCCACGGCGGTCGCATACATGGTCTTGTCATCTTTATTGGACAATGGGAATCAATCAGACGCTCTATAATCCCGCGAAAGTATTGCCAAAATTCGTCTGAATCTTCTGTGTTGACCAACCAGGTTTCCTCCAAAAGAGTGCGTCTCATTGCGTTAAAGTCACCCTTCCAAATATTTCTGCGCGTCTTGATTTTTGGTTGTTGGTTGGATAGGAGAGAGCACACGCAGGTAAAAGCAATATGATCGTTTAAACCGAGTGGAGGTTGTGGATTAACTTCCATTATGAGTCCTTCTTCTTTACTGAAAACGAGATCTAAACAGTTAGATCGTTGTCCTTCTCTCATCCTTGTTCCGAATTTTATGTGCTGAATGAGGTATTCATTCAGGGAGAGTTGTAGTAGCTTGTGGTCAAATGACGTGGACGGGGCGTTTGTTAGTTAATGAAATTAAGGCAGACATTATAACTTTCAGTGAATCGTCGTATTCTAAAGATATTTCGGATTCTGAAATATCACTAAGAGGATATCAGCAATTCAGGAGAGATAGATCAAGTCGGGAAGGAGTCATAATTTATGCAACTTGTAAGCTGGCCACTATGGCCGGTGTACAGTCTGGTACGGGATGTAGAACTCTTAAGCATCACCACATCTGCTAAGTATGTCCGACCACCGACGATTTTGGTGGTCTACCGTCCGCCCAGCAAAACTTCTGACCAAACTCTCATTCTCGTAATCGAATTGTATAAAGACGGTGAGAAGAAAGATGTCCTCATCGTTAGGGATTTTAACACCCCTCGCATTGATTGGCTAACGTGGACTGCGCAAGGACCGCATTACAACTTTAATCACAAACTAATACTGCAATGAGCAAATGCCAAACTTTTCTGCCGAAGCATTACCTTTGGAACGCAGGTTAAGGAAGGTCAACAGTTGAACTGTCTTGATCTTATTTTAACCCGAGAGGAGGAATATGTGTTAGACTTGCAGGACCGATCGTCATTAGGGTCAAGCGACCCTAATTATTCACTGTTTCCCTAAACAACTCTGCCTGTTTGATGCGAGAGAAACATGTGGACAAGGAATTATTCCTTATCATATATCCTTTCTAAAGCATTCTCCCTATTACCTGGATGCCTTATCATTCGCGGAAAACTCCTGCTCTGCATCTATTATTCTCTCGCCGCAAAGAAACGCAATTATTGGCTGTATCTACAATCCCCAATCTCTTCAGCCAGTGATGATCCACAAGTCTGTGAAATGTTTAAATGAATTTTGGAAGCTGCTCCGATAGTAAAATAATCACTGGGGATTTAACTTTCCTGAAACAGACTGAGTTTTCAATATCTGTCCACCTGGATTCCAGTCCTCAGTCAAAATTCATTGGGTCGCACGTTGACGTCCGACTGAGACATTTACCGGGAAATTACAAAATAATCCTACGTAAATGTAGGAAGAAGTATGCTTTGCAAAGTATATCTACCGGGGGTGATACAGGGGAAATTTGCCAGGTTCTGATGAGTTAGTGGTTCGTATCGAATAGAATAGGTTTGTTGCAGCACCTCTTGGACGCTGTCAGCCTCCTTTTAACACGGAAAAAAAACCTTAACCAAACTCACCCTTTTCGGCTGCACTTTGACTTCATCTGTTTTGGGTGCCTACTTAGTCAATAGGGCGTGAATTGAGAGTGTGTTTTAAGCTAAAAAAAACCTGTGTTCCAAGACAAAATAATAGCATAGGTTAGAAAAAGGAGCGAAATATACAGTATAGAGACTGACGTTTGGAGCTTGGGGATTTTGGGGGTCGTTTATATATCGCCCTTCGAGGAACTGGAAGAACTTTGACATCGGTCAGACAGTGAAATTATCTTCGAGTTCAATAAATTGGGGTGTCTGCTAGTTGCAGGTTGTCAGCCTGTTAGAGCATTTTTTAAGATCTGGTCGTACCGTTCGTTTGTATTTCCCAGGAGGCTTACCATGGTTCTCTGGATTAGCAGCTGGAAAAGATGAATTTACATCAGGAACAAGGAACATACAGTGGTAGGTCACAAGACAAATAATCCGGTATCTGTACACATTCTGAGCAGCTTAACGCTGATCCGCTCGGTAGATTTTGCATTCACTTATTCTCACTTACATATTTCTTTCATGCCGGCCGTCCTTTCTTGTCGCATGCCAAATCTGCTTTATGAAAGGTTTACGATAGCTCCGTTGATAATTTATTCACTTTACATCAGTCCAGTCCATTAAGGGGAACATGCGTGAGCCTTTGAGCACCCTAGTTGCAACGTAACATTGGGTGCGTTGTACAGAGAAATTACCTGGCTGAAATAATTCAAACGGACCCATAACAAATTGGGTGTAAATGTCAGGGGTTGAGCCCGATCTCTCATCACTTTTGTTCATTTCGAACATAAATATGTCAAGGCTCCTTTTAAAGCTTTCTATTAATAGTGATATTACGTATCACCTATTATTCATAATTAGTATATCAGTTAAGGGCATTGCTTACGTGCAGGGCGGATAGGTATAATAGGTTGTCCAGTTGAACCTCGGGAGTCCATCTTGGATGGGCTTGTTGCACTGACTTTGTGTCCATTCGTTTCGCGGGAAACAATAACTGGCATTATTTGATTGTGGAGTGTGTTGTCGAACCAGCTTACATAGTCTAATTTGGGCAATATGAGAATGCAATATCGCGACGCTTACTAAGGGGGTTGGTACATATTTAGCTGAACGGCCTACAGATGCGACCTGTTAATGCGTTTTAGAAAACATAATGCAAAACAAGGTCAGCGTGCGGTAAGGGTGGTACACCAGTAACAATCTCATCTGTTTTCTATTTACCTTTCTAATTTGGAGCCATTAGGGGTTGTCGGGTTAAGTGGGTTGCGATGTACTTTTAATTTCATCTACGGCTGCTGTGGTGTTTCTTCTTTGCGTCTGTCGCAGCGGGATAGATAGTAGTCGCGTGCCTCATAAAAGTTTTTAAAGCTTGGTGAAAAATTACGCATTTAGACATCGGATTACGCTTTTATTACGCGTTGTCTATGCTGGCCCACGCCCCTCTAACGAAGATCCGACCACGTTCACTCAAGTTATGCCTCAAACTACTCCAATATCCCTCTATGGAATTTCAGTGTTCGTCAGAAGTCGGGTCTACGGAATGTTCTGAATGGTTGACTGCGTAGTGCCCATAACCTTTGGAATGGTAAACGGGTATATGTCTTTCATTTATATGAGTGAGCGCCAACTCCTATCATGCATCCGCACGAATACGGCTTGATTCTGGGATGTGTCGTACATTCCCAATATCCATTCCTGCCTCCTGCGGCGTCCCACGTTATGGTTTCCGTTAATAATTTTTTATTAAAGATCCGTCGGGGTCCCATCCAAACAAGTAAGAATAAATTAACATAAGAATTTTAGTCGAGGTAGGCAGAATCTGTAAAAAATGCAATTCATGGTTTCTGCATTTGTAGTCCGATTTGTAGTCAGATCGTGCCTTTAGGTAGGATCAAGTAGGCCGACGTACAATTAAATTATCATGTGAAATAAATGTAAGAGACTAAACGTTTCTGCTAGGCGAATTAGACACTGTGGTCAAGTTGGCTAACAAATGTCTACCGGAGTTCTAAGACACGAAGGTAATTGTTATGGAGAGTACAAGCAGCGTAGGGCCACGGCCTAAGGCGCTGAACAGGGGACCAAGCCGGCGGCATGAGACACGCGTTAAATTAGACGGTCGACCGGCATGCACTGCAGCGCCGAGCACGTGTGGTGGCTTTGCACGTGCGCGGCCCAATCGATCGCTGGTTGAACATTCAAGACGTTACCACCGAGGGGCTATCGCGCATACGCCATTGCTCGGAATGTTCTAGAACTCACAGGAGCCACTATAAATAGCGCACCTTTCTTATTAGTTGAACCCCCTTGTGTCCGCAAGTTTCCAATAAAGTGCTCGTCGTCCGAACCGGCTCTCTTCCTTTCCTACCTTCCTTCCGGGTCATAACAGTAATGTTGTTGCGCATTTCCTATGTGTTTATAAGAACATTCGAGATGGAGGCTTTGTCCTCAGGAAGTGGCTGAGATAACAATAAACCGTCAGACGTCCAAGTATCTATTATTCTTTGTAGTTTTAATTGTCGTTTACAGAACAAATGTGAGCGACGCAAGATTTCTCTAGGAACGTTTGTTCCAGCGCAACCAGTGAGGTATACTTGTTTCAGCTTTCATGGCAGCAGTTTCGTATAATGTCCTGGTCAGAGTATTCGTAAAACACATTAGCCGAATCGGCGGGCACCTTGGGAGTGAAAACCGTGAAGCTTCTTAGTCCTATGATGAAAGAGTCGTCTGTCGAGAGGGCATCCAGGTGGAGTGGACGAAGAGGATTTCTTCTTGGTAGTGAGCAAATACCATAGAATAGGAATTTAACTGCCCTTGTGCTTTCACGCTTCGATGTCCGCTTAAATCGTGCTGATTTTACAGCTATCTACAATTTTTTCGTTGCTATCTTCTCTTGTGATACACTTCCGATTTGTTACGAGTCCCTACTTCTAATACATTCCCATAGGTTTCTGCTGAGCGCACTGGAGCTCCTACTTTATATTTGATGTGGGTCAGTTAACTTCACAAAACTGATTATGAATTTTTAGTGGGAGTGGATAAAAATCACGGTCTTACACTTGAACGTTGGGAACTCTAGTATCGTTCCATTTCGGGCGCCCTTTTTGGTTTTCGTGTGCAAATTATCGTTTTCTGCTTAATGGCGGGGAGTACTAGGCAGGAAAGTCAGGATACGACGAGGGAGGATCTGCGTTACCTTGACACTCGACCTTATCTAGACAGAACTGTTGTCCCTGTTTTAATGCAGGGACTCTCATTCTTGGCCAAAGAAAGGTTTGATAATTTAACAGCTTATTCTTTTATGTAGACCACCAAACCCCATCGGGGCACTTGCAAATTTCCTTATGCAACACGCAGAAGGCCACGAACAGCAGTCATGACCTTTTTATCTGTTTGATTATTTGTATTGCGAAATCATATTACAACATACTGCACTCGATCTTTTCCCTGCATTTGATGGTTCGTTGGACCACCTTGAACTTTTCGAACTGCATCAGACCATTTATCTCATTCTTCAAATCAGGTAACTGATTGATAAGGATAAGGATGCGTCGTACAGTATTGGATACTCCAAGAATATAGTGTCTCACCATGCCCGATGCGAATGTTAAACCTTTGATCTACTTCAACTTCTATGGTAACTACGATTCAGTCATTTTAGCTTCGCCTTTTCCTAGTCTAGTATCCCTTTGTTGGACCTGAGATGCATGCATTCTCCAGTTATCGAAACAAGGTTGTAGGGACACTGGTCGCCAGCAAGACATCCAGGGGCGAGGGTTCCGTCATCCATGCTGGTCGTAGACCGACTGGACCTCCAACATATCCACATTACCATTCTGTTTTTTCCTAGCAAGTTTGGATTTCGTCGAAGGTCGCTCTTTAGGGCTAGTCACAATATAGACGTAGGCCGTAGGCGTAATATGTAATACGCGCGTGAGCCTTGTCAATGTTGTCACTCCAAATGACAGTGCACAAAAGCACATCTACGAAGAATGGTCTTTCACGTAGATCAGTACCTTGTTCACATACAAACGACTAGGCTTCCTCATTCACAGCGGAGCACCGTAGCACAACTCGGGAAATTATCCTTTCACATCTGCCCCAAGACTAGCATCAGGTTCCTCTACCACTGTCTTATCGTTCGTCACGAATTTTACCGCTCTTATAATTTCCCTACCAACTTTCTAAGGAATGTAATGATTCCTGGCTGCCCCCGGCTGGCAAGCCGGTTTTCGCGGAGTTCACTGCACACACGGTATCTGTGAGCATTCGGCACTCCAGTGGTATTTAAGGATTAAGCACAACCTCGCCAGTACTGCGCTTCGACACTTCTTGACTAGATGGACAGTTATCCCATGACAGCTTGGATCAGTCAGTTAGAGGTCTGAGACAGGCATCTCACCAAACTGCTGGCAAGACGTCTTTGTTAAGCTATTGTGTCCGGTGTCTATGGGTGTGACTGCTTGCAACGGGCAGGTGTCTACACTCTCTCGGGCTAACTTAGCCCCTTGGCTAAATCCTATCCTATCTGCTATTCTGTTCCTCGTTTTGGTTCTAGTACGCCAATTTTAAAATGAATAAAGCCCTATTACAGGGTATTCTCGTTCCTAGGTTTGTTCGTGCTCTCCCCCTCGTTTGCTTGCAATGGTCCTAGCTACAATAGTACTCAGCTTGCAACCCCAGAATGGGTCGATTCCTTAGGCCAGAACGATTCGATGTCGATCTAAATGCTCAAGAGGCTTCTAAACAGTGGAATCATTGGTCTCGCACTTATGAGAATTTCTTGTCCATGGTCAATAGCCGGAAACCGGATAGGTTAAGCATTCTAACTGCGTTTCTCCGACAGTCTGGGAATGCATTAGTAAACACTCCAGTTACGAAGAAGCTGTTAAATTGCAATGAGATCTCTACTTAAGACCCATAAACGGAATCTCCTGCCATCTTCTGGCAACCTGCAGACAGGAAGGCAGACACACTCGACCGGTTTGCTCAAAAGCTAAAGTCCTTAGCTAAGGACTTACTTTAAGGTCATTACGACAGAACAAAATCGTAACATTGTCATCAGAGGAGCGTTTGTCAGTAACCTTTCGTCAAACCACATTCGCCAAAGGTTATTTGAGCAGGTGAATTTGAACTTCGAAACTGCCTTTTATCAGACGAGCGAGGTCACTGGAATTGGCAGAAAGACCGTCTCTGTCGCATCAGAACCCTCCGACGACCTCATTCTCTTCCGCTACTGAGCCATGTGAGACTTTGTGGAGTCCCGTTAAAGAGCCTGACCTAGTGGCTTCTACTTCGTCCCACAGTAGATACGATAGGCACAGCCGTTCGATGTGTCCCACGCGAGACGTTAAGCAGAGGATGCGGTAGAAAGGGCACTTCCAAAAGGTGTGCCTAGTATCACGAAACCGAAAAGCCGTCTCTTCCGCTATGCGTCCTACCATTTCCGCCGTGGGATCAGCTGCTGTTCCCAAGTGTCTTCCAAGCGCAGTGGTTGAAGTACAGATAAATTCGACTACATTTCAGGCCCTAGTTGACACAGGTAGTTCCGAAAGTCACATTTCTTTAATGGTGCTCTGAAATAGGTGGAAGGTTCACAACTCTTGCACTAAGATATCCGTGGCCACCACTACTTCAACAAGTGCCACGCGAGGACATGTTCTTGGCTCAACTAAATATAAAGATGCATTATACGAAAAGGTTGAACTATCGGTCTTGCCGGACCTGTATGCGGATGTTCTACTTGGGCATGGCTTTCTCGGGCTCCACAAGTGTTGGAATTCCTTTTGGCGGACGTAGGCCTACGTTCCACTTTGTTCTGTGGCTGCCGCTTGCGTCGGGCTTCCCCGTTTGTTTCCTAGTTTGACACCGGACCTCAAGTCTATCGCTTCTAAATCACGTAGACACACCAATGTAGATGAACGATTTATACGAGAAGAAATCCGTCGCCTTCTTTCTGGAGGTGTAATTGAGCATTTAGTATCCCCTTGGCGAGTCCAAGTTTTGGTGGTAGCCAGTGAAAACCGCAAAAGGCGGATGGTTGTCGATTGTAGCCAAATGATCAACAAATATACACTTCTGGATTTGAAGCATTTTTCCCCTGCACGAAGCTGAAGCAGGCAAACAGGGCAGGATTTATTGGTACCAGGAAATTTCGCGGCGGTTCGTCAGTTGCGTCCTGTCGCTTCATAGTATAGATAACGAGTGGGAAGAATACAACAGATTTGAATTCGTGCAGAAAATCAATGCAGAAACAGCAAGGCTATGGTTTTGTTACCAGCAAATCCTGCACTACTTGCCTGCTTTACACTTCTAGATGTCGACACCTCCCGGAATAGATGAAATGATCGGACCTATTGTGAACTACGACACGTATAGCACTCCTGATCTCAAGAGCGTCCATACCAGATACCCATTCGTGTAGAGGAAGGACCCTACACTGCCTTTGAGGCTTGTAGGCGTTTATATCAGTTTTGTCGTATCCCATTTGGTATAACCAACGGGGTTGCGGGCTGCCGGCCTACCGACGACGACATAATTATGCGCGAGTGTCTAAAGAAGATTTTCCTCTACGTGGGCATTACTACTGTGGGAACGGCCTCGCGGAGCATGATCTGACCCTTTGAAAATTTCTTAGCATGGACTAATATTCAATAAAGCCAAAAGTGTTGTTGCTACTAAACAAATCAGGCTTCTTGGTTACGAGGTGTCCAAGAACAAAATTGGGCCGGATGAGGGTCGTCGAAGGTTTTTACGTGAAATGGCTCCTCCGCATGATCTTAAGCCTCAACAACGAGCAGTAGGACTGTTTTCATACTACTCACAGTGGATACCTCACGTCTCGGGTAGAATGCGTCTGCTCATCCATAACAAAACTCTCCCCTTGCCATTGAAAGTAATGGAAGTATTTGAGCATCTGAAGGAGAGACTTGCAAAAGCCACAGTGGCAACTGTTCAGTAAGATACTCCATTAGTTATCGAGACTGGTGTTTCAGACGTCGCAATCGCTGCCACACTGAATCAGAATGGCCGGCCAGTAGCCTTCTTCTCACGTAGCCTTTCTCCAACTGAACAACATCATTCAGCTTTAGAGGATGGAACATACA